GTGATAATGATGCTACGTTAAAGAAAAGTAACTTTTGTCTGAAACATGTTTGTCGAATTATCGTAGATGTCTACGATAATTTTTTATCCGTTCTTAGCTTTACCCAGGATTAACGACGTGGACGTGACGGACTTTCTGGGTGACCTTCTATTGGACACGTAACGATTGGACACCGCTCGATTGGACACGCACTATTGGACACGCATTATCCCAGTGAGAACACTAAAGTCGAATCGACGTCGAATCGACGTCAATGGGGTCGAAACCACGTACCTACCGTCAGTTTTCAAAAATAATTAAAAGTTTCGGAACATTATTTTTTGTATTAAATTACTACGTTCAACATTGTAAATACTTTTAACATCTTATTAGAGAGAACTGTCAAGTTTCAGTTGTTTGGTGGAAACGACGTCAAAACAACGTCGAAACGACGTACATAAAATCAACGGATACCTCTTATCATGGCACTCTTATGCATAAGAGTTGTTTTAGTTTAAACGTGTTTGTTACAAGCACTGAAATATAACTATACTGGAAGAGGCATTGAGGTGCCTTAAACGTGCCTAAAACGTGCCGAGTGAGAAGCCAATGTAGGGGCTCTCTGTCCTTGTTCTGCGCAGGTGCAGAACAAGGACAGAGAGCCCCTAATTGGCTTCTCACTCGGCACGTTTTAGGCACCTCGTGGTCAGGGAATAGAATTTTTGACGCGTTGGATTGGTTGGAAGAAAATTTTCGACGAATCCACCGTGTCAAAAATTCTATTCCCTATTCCTATTGTCTGTTGCCTGGCATTGTGTGATAGGCTTAATACATGTACCGATTACGCGCTTGTAGCGGCGCAAACAGTTGACGGATGTTTTCTCGCGCGGTGTATCGCGACGGTGTACATACGCACGACTCGTGAAGTAGAGAGAGAGAGTGTGTGTGAGAGACGGAAGTTTTCCTCGACATGAACGCGATCGTTCGCGGACGGTTCTCGATAGGTTGCCCGTTGTGTTTTTGTTGACTCGGTCCGTCGCCGCGGCAAGATGCATATTGTCGTGTCCTAATGACGTAATTAGTTGAAGAAGCGAGACGGTCTCCGCGAATGTCCACGTATGTACGTGTCGATCGTGCGATCAATCGCACGCCCCGTATAACCTGCGTGCCCGAGCGGGCGATGTGCACGTTAAGGTCACGGGCAAGTTTGTAGACTTTCTTTGGTGAAGAAGAGTATAGTTATATTTCAGTGGTTACAAGTTGCAAGAGTACGTGCTAGAGGTGTTATTTACTATTTGGACGGCATTTGATAACAAGTGAACAATGGATGAAGATAAAAAGGTAAATTATTCAGATATTCTTAATAATAAATATGATATGTGTGAGGAAATTACGACTCGGCATCTTTAAAAGAGGCGCGTTACCAGATCCTGGCGCTGTCGGCCTGCGCGGAGGAATACATGGATGGGCGCGCGTAGTGGGAGAGGGAATCCTCCCTTCCCCCGCTGGCGGTTTTCGGGGGACTCACTAAGTAACGACGAGCGAAGAAGAGCGGAACGTTGCTCGATCTAGCGAAATAGCGATTGCGTCATACTCTTACGTTAAAGTATCTTTACGTCTTACACATTCACGTATTATACCACGTCGTTTCTTACATATCAGAAGCGGGATAGAGAACAAGAGCGTGCCAAGGCGCATCCTGATTATTACGGTAATACAGGTTATAACCATGGGCCGTCACAAGGCGCGGCGCGAGGCCCATCGAAGCCGCTCGAAAAGAAGGAGAAGTCGTTCTCCTTCCTCGTCATCAGAGGATGCAAAGAAACAAAGGGACGACCGTTTTGAGCGACTAGAACATATAGTGGAGAGTCTGGATCGACGGTCGACAGCACATACGAGGGGATCATGCATACACCGAGGAGACGAGTTGATGATTCCCTTGTTCGATCCATCGAAGGACGAGCTGGTGGTTGATAAATGGATTGAACATGTAGACGATTTGGCTGCTCAGTACGACTGGGATGAAAAGGCGATTATGCGCCTGATACCGGGACGCCTGGTAGGCCATGCTAGGCAGTGGTACGACACACGGCCCCGGTTAGCCGTTACATGGAATGAGATAAAGAACTCATTAAAACAACAATTTCGTAAGTCTGTTCCTTTTTGTAAATTGTTCAAAGAAGCGGCACTGTACGAAAGCGTTCCGGGACAAGCGTTAGGGGATTATTGTTTTCAAACGTTAAGGAAAATGCGGAAACTAGATATAACTATACCGGATAAATACATTATTGATGCGGTAATCGGTGGAATTACGGATGAGAATGTCGCGAGAACCGTGCGTTCGGCTCAGCATAGCGATGCAAATGAGTTATACGCGTATATGACGACTCTTGATAGCTTACCGACAAAAACCGAAAGAAATAAAGCCGCGACAAATACGAAAAGCGAACGTAAGGATCGGGTATCGCCAATAGATGAAGCACGTGTAGTAAATACAAGTGATAGCACACCATCCACGGGTGATAAGGCGAAAACGAAAATCGAATGCTTTAATTGCGGAAAGGCGGGACACATAGCGAGAAAGTGTCGGATGCCGCGTATAGAGTGTGAGCGATGTAACCGGTTGGGACACCAAACGGAGAAATGCCCTTTGAAAACGGACGTAAACATAGTAGAAAAGATTGCAAATGGGCGTAACTCGTACGGAAGATTAGTAGTGGTTAACGGGCATAAACTTAGAGGATTAGTCGATACCGGAAGCGGTTGCACATTAATACGAGCGGCCGTTGCCGAAAAATACGATATGGCCATTACGATAACGTCGGATAACGTGCTGAGAGGATTCGCAGGGCAAATCGCGACTAGTAACCGTTCGATGCGGTGTGAAGTCAGAATTATGGACGCGGTAGCCCAAGTTAACGTCGTCATAGTGTCAGATAATTATTTTATTTATGATGTAATTGTCGGTCGCGATTTCCTCGAGCAGGAACACATCGTCGTTATTAAGCGGGGAAAAGCGTTGATATTCAAACAGCTACCCGCGATTGATGACGAAATTGACAATAGTATTGAGGTAAATTGCTTGAGCACGCGAAAAGAGGATGAAATCACGATATCGATAGGCGCGATCGGTGATAGCGCAAGGCAGTAGGGTACACTCCTATTTCGGAATTTAGAGATTGCATTGCCCTCTCAATATCGGAATTAGGAAAACGGACGCCGCGTCGTTAAAATCCGATGTACATCTGACGCGCCCGTCGTTTATAGACCGTATCGTCTGGCGAACAGCGAGAAACGAATATTTTTCAGGTTTAGACTTAGCTTCCGGATACTACCAAGTACCGGTAGACATAGACTCT